CCGCCCACGCGCCAACCGGCCCATGCCGCCACCTGCCTTCGCTGCGCACCTGCCCTCGGGCCGCCACCGCCTCTCCACCACGCCCTCGCCGCCACCTATCTCGCCCCGCCGGCCACCGCCTACCAAGCCACCGCGCGGCGCCCTCGCCGCCACCGCTTCGCCGCCCACCGCACTCCTACCGCCGCTCGCCGCTACCCTCGCGCCTCCGCCGCCACCGCCCTCGCCGCCAGCCACCCTCGGCCGCCACGGCCCGTCGCAGCCACGCCGCCCTCGGCCGCCACCCCGCCTCGCCGCCACCCGCCCTCTGCCGCAACAGCCCTCGCCCGCCACGGGGCTCGCCGACCACGCTGACTCTCTGCGCGCACCGCCCATCGCCGCACCGCCCTCGCCGCCACCCCGCTCGCCGCCACCGCCCTCGGCCGCACCCGGCCCTCTTTTGCCGCCACCGCCCTCCGCCGCTACCAGCCCTCGCCGCCACCGCCCCGCCGCCACCGCTCGCCGCCATCCGCCCTCGCGCCGCGCCACCAGGCTCGCTCTGCGGCTCGGGCCACTAGGGCCCTCGCCCAACAGCCTCGCCGCCACCTGCCGCCTCACATGCCGCCACGACAAGGCCCTCGCCGCCAACCGCTGCGTCTGCTTGCCCGACCTGACGCTCGGCCGCACCGCCCTCTGCGGCCGCCAACCGACCTGGCCGCTCGATCCTTACCGGACCGCCTCGGCCGCACGGTATAAGCAGCGCGGGAGCCGCCACCGCATGCGCCGCACACAAAGACCCGCAAGACGCCACCAAGCGCCATTGCGCCGCCATCCCCGCCCTCGGCTCGCACCGCCCTGCCGCCGCCACCGGGGTCCGTAGCCCTCTTTTTAGCCCGGCTACCGGCCGCCACCGCCCTCTCTTCGGCAGTTCGCGCCCCCGGGCCCTGCGGTGGCCGCCACCTTGGCCTCGCCGCCACGGAGCAGAAACCGCCCTCACGTAAACACACGCCACCGCCCCTCGCCGCACCGCCCTCGCCGCACCGCCCTCGCCGCGCCGCCGCTAGCGCGCCACGCCCTCGCCGCTCCCCGCCTCTCGCCCGCAGTGGGTGATGTGTTCGCCCTCCAGCCGCTCCGGTCCAGCCTAGCCGCCACCCGCCCTCGCCGCCACCGCCCTCGCCGCCCACCGCCCTCGGGCCGCACCGCCCTCGCGCCACCGCCCTCGCCGCACCGCCCTCGCCGCCCACCCGCCCTCGCCGCCACCAGCCTCGGCCGCCACGCCTCGCCGCCACCCCCTCGCCGCGACATTCAGGTGTAGCCTTGACTCGCCGACTCCTGCCTCGACGCCACCACTTATCCCTTCCGGCCCCTCTGTTGGGGCCGCCACCGCCCGCCCTCAGCAGGCACCGCCTCCACGCGGCGCCGCCCACCATCGCCGCCTCTCTGGCTCGTCACGACCGGACTCCGCTGCAAGCCGCCAAACCGGAACGTGATGCAAAGTTGCGTCTTCTACTCGCTCGCCGAAGCGCCACTCCACGGCCTCACGCTCGCGCACACTCACCCCCATAGACGATGCGCAACCTTTCCGCTCTCGCTTCTGCACACAGTCCCAGGGAACCATATTTTGTCTCCGGCAACCTGCTGCCTCGCCGCTATGGCCACCTGGCCCTACGCCGACTGTCGTCAATGCGCTACTCGGTACGCCACGTGCGCTACGCCCGCCACCAGCCGTCGCAAGCGCCACCGCCCTCGCGCCACGCCCTCGCCGCCCACCGGCCCTCGCGTCGCACCAGAGACCAGCCTCGCCTCGCACTCCGCAGCTCTGCGACACGCGCTCTACTCGCCAGGCCGGCCTACGTCACTCACGCAAACCGCCTCGCCGCCACCCCCTCGCCGCACCGCCCTCTCCACCACCGCCCTCGCCGGCCACACCATGCGCGTGTACCGCCCTCTTTTGAGACAGCCACAGTTGGTCGCCCGGTCCCGCCACATACGCCTGCCACTCCGCTCACTCGCGCGCCATGGTCCAGCCCTCGCGCACGCCACCGCCCTCTCCACCACCCTGGCCCGCTCATTGGCCGTACCTTAAAACCAAAAGCCTGCGGCCGCGCACAATAACCTCGCCGCCCCCGCCCTCTCCACCACCGGCCCTCGCCGCGAACACTTCCAGTGCCCTCGGACACGCCACCAGCCCCTGCGCCGCACCTGCCCTCGTCCACCACCGCTCGCCGCCACAGCGCTCGCCCGCACGGCCTCGCCGCCACCTGAAGTTTGCTCGGCATGCCACAAATGCCTCTCGCGCCGCCAGTTACGCCTCGCCGCCAAAACAAAAAATATTTTTAATTTTCCCCACCCTGCCGATCCGAGTCCTCGCGCAACGGGCCTCGCCGCCACCGCCTGCGCGGCCACCGGGGCCCTCGCCGCCACCGCTCTCCACCACCGCCTCGGCCGCCACCGCCTCGGCCGCACGCAGCCTTCGCCGCAACCCGCCCCTCATGGCCGCCACCGCCCTCAGCCGAGCCACCGCCTCGCCGCCACCGCCCTGCGTGCACCTTGCTACCAAGCGCATTCTTCGGGGACCAGTCGGGAGTTTTAGGACTCTAGTGACACACGCTGCGCTCTACAATCGGCTGCTGCGCGACGGCGGATCTAGAGGCGACCATGTTGTACCGGCGCAGGTTGGTTGGGAGATACGCGGAGTGGCGTAAACGCCCCGCAATCCTACCGGTTGGTCAGGCGCGCAGATTTCTCACTATCTAGACACGGGAAATGGACATCACTTACACGAGGCAGGATATACTCCTCCAGCGTGATAATATATATCAGCTGGCCTTTCAGGCGGGAGTATGCCGCAAGCAGTTAACGGCTCTCGGAATTATACGAAACCAATCAATCAATCGCTCGTTTCGTCCCGTCCCGTGACGGTACAGGTAGTGCGCCGCGCCCGTAGCCTAACGCGTCCTGGACAAGGAAACACGAGCGGTGTAATCGCAACTCGCGGCGCGTCAAAAACTTGTCTCGGCCCGATCGGCTTCAATTTCCTTTAATACTCGGTCTTCGCGGAAATCATTCGGAACGTCTTTGCGGCGTAACCCTGTTCCCAGGGTCTTTGCATCTCAAGTCAAACCACTCTCAGTTCTTGTAAAATCGTAAATGCGAGCTAAGTAAAACTGAAGAGTCGTGGGGCCCGTGGGATTACATGAAGGACAACACCAAACTAGTCAGGTAAAAACTGTCATCTGTCTAGAGTTATCATGTGCAGCGGTTAAATGAAGGGAAGGGTCAACTGCCAAAGAAGTGGGATTCTGCATTATTTATAGCATGTGTACGTATGATTAAGTAAAGCACCTTAGACCCATCTGAACTCGACATTGCATTGTACCTCTCCTCCTATAAAGATATTACTCACAGTTGTTTACAAAGGAAATATTATGTATGAATATAGATATTAAAAATTAACCATAGAACACGTAGCAAACAAAATATCTTATACTAAATTACATAGTTTGGAATAAGGTATTGTTATAGCTGCTACAATATAGCTTGTTAGTCGCGGACATTGGACGCTGGATTCACTATAATCTTCTATTACGTAAGGATATCATGGCTTGATATAGTATAAGAGTACGGAGTCGAGTTGTAGACAGCTGTATACGCGTGTATATGTCAGTGTAGTATGGCGTGCGAGCTCAGCCAGGTTAGACTTGTTTCTAGTCTCAGTATTAATGGTTGCGGTGGATAACGCGTGATGAATTTGTAGGATATTTAAGGTGATATATCGTGTATTAATCGGTGTGAGTCGTGTGCTACTTTAGTTGTAGATAGTAATTGTACCGAATGCTCACCGCTCTCACGTTCTAGCTGTCAGCGCTATTAGTTGTTCGATTGTGCAGAAGCTGTGCACCAATTGGCTGTGCATGATTTACTCCCAGGTGAGCGAAGAGCGAGGAAGTAGGTGAGATATTGGAAGCATGGATTAGCCCACAGAGGAGATTGGACGAGTTTTCGTACACATACCGTTGAATGTAAACTACGCAAAAGTCAAGTATAATGAAGATAAAAAATAAGGGATTTTAGATAGCACTAATTCTTTGTTAAAGAATCTCTCCATTGAGATTCTGTGTATAACATTCTTAAATTTTCATTTAAATCTCTTGGTTTCCTGCCTGGTTGTCTATAATAAAATAGAAAGAAGATTCATTGTAATGATGATGATAAATGATGATTTTAGTTCATGGTTATTAAGGAAAGTTTGAATACGAACAGTTTCGCTGATGGCCGAACTGCATAGAGGCTGAAACAAATCCTAAAGAACTACAGCACATCCAGTTTTTTGACGTACTTATTGCCTTAGTTCATGGCTGGAATACGGACTCTTCCCCTTGCGTACAAGTCGACCATGCATGTAAAGAATACATATAATAGTAATTAGTGGGAATTTTGTAATCTGCTGTGGCGCCGCGAAATTTCTTAGTGTAGCATTACAAAGCTTAAACAATGGCTGTCCGTAATTTCCGTGGACATTTCAAGCTACGTGTTTGCTTTTCATCATAGTTGAATAAACCCGTAATCGTTCCGGCAATTAATAAACCTCGCAACAGCTTCACAGAAAACGTGCAATATTGTGTCCACACACACGGTTGTGTTTTATTATGCATATTATCATGTATTTTTAATTCGCGAAATATTGATATAGTTACGGCGGTTTACGGTTGCACAAAAAAAAATGATTTTGTAAGAATTAAGCATACAAAAATTTTTGTCGCGAAAATATTGTTTTGCAATTCGATAAGGGGATAATGTTATTGGGCGGTGGCGGCGAGGGCGGTGGCGGTGTCGGTCGCGGGATGGGAGAGGCGGCAGACGCTCGATAAGGCGAAGCGCGGGGGCCACGGAAGCTGCTTGAACACCTGCGCTGCCACGGTAGCCGCCCCCGCGCCGTACATAAGGATCAGCAGCTTCCGGCCTAGGCTACAGCGGCGGCGATGTTGCTGCAACACGGACGTCCGAATGCACGCACCCACGCCCAAAAATCTCCGATCCCTTGTGCCTTCCCTTTTACCCTTTCTATACACACCATATATAGGGCGAAATGAATACGAACGTGCTCTTGTTCTGATATTCATTCAAGTGATAATTGCCTACAACACAGCTAGGGGTGCTAAAGCAACACATACTCGTTTGTGTTATTGATGACAATTCCAAGTGTAAAATGTCATTGTTACGATGCAGAGAAGATGCAAGAATGTATAAAATGCATAGATGCCAATGGACTCCATGACAGATGCGGTTAAGATTACAAAAACAATATAGAAAGTATGATTACATAAATGGAAAGTCGAGGAATAGACAAAGCGTGAAAAGTATTATTGCCAGCCAGAGAGCAGTAATTTGTGGCAATCCAAAGAACCGATTTTGATGCACGTGTAGGCTGTGTGTAGTTTCTGGAGTTGCAAAATACAAGGCAGTATGTATGATGGAGTAGTATATATCTCATATACTGGATATCCCACCAACTATGGGCAAACATATATGTATGTGTACAGAACAATTTAGAATGTTTAGTCTATATTATGTAACTCCTTCTGTTTATTCCCAGAGATTCGTTTCCCTTGGAGAGTGAGATCAACAATCGCCCTACATATTGGCTAATGGGCGATTGCCGCTTTGAGATATCTTCGTACCAAAAGGCACCACATGGGGTACCTGAGCTTATTTAGAGGTTTAGTGCATGTGGATATGTGTAAAGGGTAGAGAGGATGACAGAACAACGAAGATCGAGGAAAGATCAGTCCCAGTCCATGGTGTTTGTTTAAATACTGCTCCTGCATTCGC